GAGGAGGAGGAGGAGGAAGGGGTGGGGAGGGAAAGCATTGCGATACTGCAGGAACAGACTGAGGAGCTACAGGAGAGAAGAGAGGGAGAGGAGGAAGGAGGAGGAGAAAATCAGAAAGGAAGAAGAGAGGTAGAATGGACAAAAGGAGGACAAATAGAGGATAGAGGCAAGATGAGGTGAAGTGAGAGGAAAAGGGATAAAGGAAGAGGAAAGAGGTTAAGATAGAAGAAAAAATTAAAGTAAAGGTAGAAAAAAGAGGTGGAAGGGAGGGAAAGAGGTCAAATGAAAGGAAGACAGCAAGGGGAATAAGGAATAAAGGACTGAGCGGAAGAAAAAGAGGTAGACAAAAGTGAAGAATAGAAAGAAAACCGGAGCAAGAACGGATGGAGGGATCTAAATTTGGGGTTTTCCGGTGGAGATCTGGTGCAGCGTTTGGCTCGAGGATGCAGTCGGATACAAACTGAACTAAACGTCCACAATCCTCTGCAGGACTTCTCTCCGTTCTTTGTGGATGATGTTTCAACAGGAACTCCACTCGTTTCCCCTGAAAACTTCCAGCCACTCGGACCGACTCCGATCCAGCAGACCTCCTGTCAGAGATGAAACACGAGGACGCAGATGGACAGACGGATGAAGAGTTTACTGATGTGTGAAGAATGAAGCGAGACGGACGTTGTTTCGATTGACGAATGGACTGAAACCTGTTGGAATATTAGCAACAAATTCCCTGAGAGGTTTGGTGGGAAGAACTCTGGTCAGAGACTTTACAGATGATCAAAGAAGTCACTGATGGGAGGACGGAGATATTTTAAAGGCAGATTTGGGCTGTAGGATGTGTTTTTGATTGACGGACTGAGAAAAATTTTGGAAAACTCCCAAATTCTGAAAATAAGCTTTATACGAATAGTTTTAATTGACAACCAAATGATGTCTTGGAGGAATTTCCTGAAGGCTTTGATCAGGAATGACTTCAGTCACAACAGAACTTTACTGTGGATTTCAGAGGTAACTGGTGGACGGATGTAGAGTTCACTAATCTTTTTACAGATAAATCGATACTGTAGGACGTTTGTTGGCAGACCTACAAATAGATTTGATTGATGAAATGAGCAAAACTCCCATATGCTCATAGGTCTTTGATGAGGAAAATAGTACAGTTTAGAGACATTTTAAGGATACATTTGGACCGTTGGATGGTTTTAAATTTTGGAAAACTCTTAATTCTCTTTTTGGTGAGAAAGAAACTGAAATAAGGATACAGCTGCAGAATCTGCTTACCGATACATAAAAGTTTAAGTGCTACGAGTAGTTTGGATTGCTGAACAAAGTTAAGTATTGCCATACTCCCAGATTTCCTGAGTAATTTGGTGACAAAGACTCGAATAACCAAGACGTCACTTTACAGATGAAGTAATTGATAGATCGAGGTCAGTTTATCAGTCAGTTTAGTGAATCGATACCCTCTGACGTTTGTGAAACTGAAACCTGTTGGAATATTTTAAAGAAATTCTTTGGTGAGAACGACTGTAATCATTTAGACTTCCTCACTGGATGCATGGACAGATTAAAGATATTATCCTACTGGATGTTTGTTGTTGAAGACGTAGATTTTTGGTGAGAACACAAAGATGCATCAAGATTAATAAATAATACTAAAAAAAGTTATTTGAAAAGACAGAAATACGACAATCTGTCCTGGAACAACTAATTCTCCATCAGATTGCTATAACACATTGTTTCAGATTTTGGATTGAACAACTGGTCTAAACCTCCTAAAATGCTCCTTGAACCTTTGTGAAGCTGTCTGAGTTTCTTTTTACTGGATAATGCTTCTTGTTTTATCCTGAAAACGTTCATTCACCAATCCAGCTCTGGCTCCACATGCTGCCATGTTGCACAATCCAACACAACTTTCATCGCTGTTGCCGCTCAGCCTCGATGGTATTCATCAGGTTTCCTTCCTGTAGAGTTGTGATTCTCCGTTCTTGTTGGATTAAATCTGGTTGTTTTACGATGGTGAATGAGGACGAGTTTGGACCTGGTTGTTCTTCAAGGAGAAGAACTTTGAGCAGATAATGGATTGGAAGGAACTGTGAGTATCGCACCACAAATCTCATCTCATTTGAACTATTTCTTGTCTTTTTAAGAGATACTAAACACCGTTATATGAGGAATCTTTATTTCTTTTAAAGGTTTCAAACAAACTTGAGATTTAAGGGTTTGTGGGTTCAGAGGAACAGAAATACTGTGGAGAGTAAAAGATAAAGATTTAACCATAAAGTGAGTTCATTCACGGATCAGAGGCAGCGTTAGCTTTAATGTCAGGTTATAAAATAACATTCTGTCATCTTAAACTTGAATCGCTCTTAAAAACAAGTCACTTCCCTTTTCATTGGTCTCTGAGGGCTGTTTCTGTTGGAGGCTGTCGGATATATTACAGTCACATTATTAACCCTTTGAGACCCTCACAGGAAGAAGGAGGTCTCCTGCTGCATCGTTGAAACCAGTTAACCTGCCCTCTAATAACACATTATAATAATAAATCACTTTCTGCTCTTTTCAGCTCAGTTTATGCTTTTTCTTAATGACTGAATGTTTCAACTTGGATGTACAGTAGAAGATAAATGAAAACAGCCATCACACACTATATATACAGTATTTATATACTCACTAACCACTGAGCTGATGAAGTTTAATCCAACAGTAAATCTTTCTTTATGAAGGTGTTAAAGTTTGTTTTCAGCTGATCATTTTGGAAGATGTACAGCAGTTTGTGCTGCTGTTGCACAATACTGCATTCACTGATGGCTGCTTGTACTGGTTTCCTACCTTTTCCCTTAAAGAAGTCCTTTTCTGTTATTGAGTTAAACTGATAAAGTGGCACTTTATGGATATTTCACATTATCAAGGAATTCAAACCCCACACTTCCTTTTTCTGATGACTGTAGATTATTCTGTCAGAGTTTCAACAAAAAAGCCAAAAACAGATTCAAACAACAATGTAGGAAATTTGAAGGAGCTACACGCTGTGTCTACACGTGAAGCCATTGGCAATGTGAGCACTGGACTCCCTGACTGGTCCCAGACCAACAGACTGCTCTGCACTGTGTTCTGACACCTTTCTATCAGAACCAGCAATAACTGTTTCAAGCAGGTTTGGAGATACAGTAAGCTCGTCTGTTGGAATCGGACCAACACGGGCCAGGCCTTCACTTCCCCACCTGCATCAATGAGCTCGGGTCCCCCATGACCCTGTTTCTGGTTCTGGTTCCTTCCTTGGACCACTTTAGATAGGTACTGACCTCTTGCAGACCGGGAACCCCCCACAAGAGCTGCCAGGTTTGGAGATGTTCTGACTCTCTCAGTTGTCATAACAATGTGGTTCTTGTCAAAGTGGATCAGATCCTCACGCTAAACTGTACAATGAACCTACAACAGACCTGCTACATGTGAATCCATAATCCTGTGACAGATGGCAGAAAACAGAAACAGAACTTTTGCTTGTGTGAAATGACACAAAGTTGAAGTTGCTTTAAAAGCCTTAAAGATTTCACCCACACTTGCTCCGCACTTGGTGACTATAAGGTTAGCATTGAAGCTGACCACCTCGAGAGCTGTGTGAACAATATACAGTGAGCACCACAGTAGAAGAGGAGGGAAACAGGAGCTTAAATCAACTCTCCAGGTTGCCATTAATGAAGTGTAAATGTCAGCACACGTTCACCTTGCAGCGCTGCGGTTTGTTTCCTCAGTTAGTGTGTGATAAATGTACACACACTCACACTCAGTGTATTCCCAGAGGCTCTCTCTGTAATTACAGCTTCTGAGCTCTGATTGGACCCAGTGAGGAGGAGGAGGAGAAGGAGGAGGAGATCACATCTTCTTCTAATGATGTCAGATCTGAGTTTGAGCCTCCTCAACTCCCCATTGATCCAACACTGCTTCTCATCATCATCCTCCTCTTCCTCCTGTGTGTGTTCTGAACCTGATCAGAGCCTCGGCTCAGCCCCAGTTCTTTCAGGATAAACCATCGGCAATGCAGTGTCAGGAACAGGAGGAAGTCTTTCAGATGTTCACAGTTCTCTCTCTTCTACACTTTGGATGAAGATGTGTTAGAAAATATCTGCTTCTTCAGTGAGAAGTCAAAGATACGAGAGGGTTGTGAACATGAACACACATTTTGAGTTAGATATAACTACGACTCCCATGGTGCATTTCACTAACAAACATCCAATCTGATGGCAGGTGGAGGCTGAAGAGGAAACTGTTGAGATGACTGAAAATCCACCATAGATAAAAACACTGATTTTACCTCACAGATCTTAAAACTCATCAGAACCGTCTTTGTTATTCTTTCAACAATCTCCAACTCTGTTTTGGTTTAACTAATTCCTAAATTCACTGTGATGAGTTTCTCTTGTCTAACTTTAAACAGGAGAATCAGTATTATATAATAACGATAGTAATAAGACATGGAGGTTAAACGATCAGAAACTTGTTGGTTCTGAACTCTCTGACTGACTCTTTGTCTTTTATCTTCAGGGCGGCTCAGAAGCTCAGTCTGTCCCGCAGGAAGAAGTCCCAGCCGGGCCCCGCCTCTCCACCCAGTGAGGCCCCAGGGCCCCTGGTCTACACTGGTGGCTTCAGTGGCGCCCTGCAGCTCTCCCCACCCGCAGTCCCACCATGCCTCCTCCGGGCCGGGTCAAAGGTCAAGGACGCGCCAGGGATGGGGAAGGTGAGCTGTTGTGTTGTTACCCAGAATGCCGTGCAGTAGATGTAGATCAGCTGGCTCTCAGGCTGCTGGAATCTCATGAATCCGGTCTGATACATCAGTAGGGAGGCAAGATGTCCAAGATCTTCCCTCCTTCGCCTCAGTGCTGATTTACTTGCAGCAGGGCGTGTTCAGGACAGTTTATCTGGTAATGTGAGGGTTTACTGATCCATATTTAACCTCCAGACCGGCTCATCAAGATCGTTTTCCAACCCCGATCACTACTGCACAGACTCTGGCTCCAAATGGAGAAAGATGGCAGCAAATGTAAGAAAAACCTTATAATATAATAATAATACTGTAGTGTGTGACTGTTTGACATATGAGGAAAGAAGAAAAGTTTCTCCTTATGTACAACCAGATTTCAAAGTTTTATTTTATATATATTAACTCTGTAATCTGAGCCCTTATCGAAACCAAAGATCTACATGTTCTTTATGGCTGCTGGTTCCATCACAGATATTCAACATGTCTAAGGCTGCAGGAAGATAACGGTGGTGCAGAGGTCTGGAACCAGGTTTCTCTCAAACTGTCTTTACTTTCTATTATTGGACTGTTATTCCCAATAATGTCATATCTTCTCTGGACTTTCTGGACTCTTCATCCTGTAACTGTAACAGAAGTCAGTCGCAGGTCTTTAAGATGAAACATTTTCCCTCACCTCCCTCCTGCTGCCATCTGCAGCTGCTAATAACTTCATCATTCAGCTTCAAAGTCTTCATGAAAAGATCTTCAGGATCTGATCAGCCTGATTCTTCTTCATCTCTGATCCAACCAGCATCTCCAGGAGTCAACGTTTAGATGTCCCCCAACTAATAATCGGACCTCTGGTTCCTGAGCGGCAGAAATAAATGAAAGAGCATTTTAATGAGACTGATCTGCTCCTGGTGCAGCTCAGATATCTCAGAGGTTTCTGCTGCTCTGAGATCAGATCATATAGCTGCTCGTTGTGACGCTGTCAGCTGAAGGGTCACTCGTACAAACAGCTTCCTCTGGTGATTTATCTCCACAAAGCACACAAAAGCCACACTGTGTACTACGATACTCTACACTGTTGTGTTCGAATTGACTGAAACAAAATCAATTTTTTTGTTCTTTCTTTCTTTAATGAACTAAAACTAAACTAAAACACAGGCCTTCCTTTGGTGTAACAGTTCCGATTCTGTACTGTTTCTTGTTCACGAGCTCTGGGTCATATATTAAAGACCATTTCTGGATTTAAAGTTCACCGTGTATTTTACTGACTGGAGATCAGCTGCTTCCTGTCTGCAGCTGCAGCCACTGAGGAGGTGATGATTCGCTCCGCTGACTCACAGCGACACATCATTTAAAAACTGCTGCGTCTCAGATTGTTATTGGCTTTAAACTTGACCTCCTCGCCGCCACGAAGCGCCGACTCAGCAGCTCTGTGACAGACCAATAAAAACCCATCAGAGAGTCACAACACAGCAAGGGAGGCTGATCTGAGGTCAGATACAGCAGCGGAAGTCCTCATGAAACAAAGCAGAGAGCTGTTGTGGTGTTTCTGTACCGTGATAATAAAGTTGTGTTTTTGTACATTGATAAAGTTCTTTTTGTTGAGGGCCTAATCAGCTAGCTAAAACTATTCAAACTAGCATAGCTACTAAGTTCTCACATCAGTCTTTTGTTCGTAACTTTAATTTTACATTAGAGCTGACCAACAGCTATGCTAGCTTGTTAGCCAGCTAGCATAGCCTCAGTAACAATTGCTAACATCGGAGACGTACAGTGATGTAATGCCGTGGCTCTCTAGCTCGTGGAAAAGTGAACCGGTTCTTAGAAGGTACTTTTGTTTTGTAGTTCCTCTTCGACCAGAAGCAGGTTTTCTTTTTGTTTCCATTTTGAATTATTTTTTTTTGTCCCGAGATATTAAAGACGGTGTCTTCCTGTCCGTGTCTTCCTGTCCGTGTCCAGGTCCGAGTGATGGTCCGGATCTGTTCGGTGCACAGCAGCAAGTCCTCAGAGTCCATGTCCCTGCTCAAAGTGGACAGCAGGAAGAAGCAGCTGACTCTCTGCGAGACGTCCGCCAGCGGACTCTCCGCCGCCGCCCCGAGGCGCTCCTCGACCTCTGCTCCAAAGACCTTCATGTTCGACGCTGTCTTCTCCCAGGATGCTTCACAGGTGCGATGGGACCGGGTCTGCTTCACTTTTGAACGAAGAAGACATGTTGTCAGATTGATTTGATATAGATTAGACTGTGTTAACGTCAGGAGGAAGCAGATTAAAGATGCAAACATTTGAATTATTTTTAAAAACAGAAAAAATTCGCCGACGCCTGCAGAGTTCAGGCTGGATGTGATAAATGATCACATCAGTTAGAATTATTCTGTGAGTTTGTGTCTTCTCATTCTGAATATAAATTTGTATTCCTACTCTATTATATCCTCTCATTACGGACCAACTACATCATAATTGTAAGCCCCTGCCCCTTTTTGGTCTGTGCTCCAATCACAGTTGAGCAAGCCTCGGTCAACTTCCTCCTTTCCTGTGCTTAGATATGCTATATGCTAAGCTAATCTTTGTTGAAAAGACAACCACATTTTGAAGATGATTCAAAGATAAAAGAGATAAATATATAGTCACATCTTAAGTTAGCTAGTGTTAGCAAAATGCTACCTAACTAGCTAGCCACTTTACATAATTCATTAGTTAGCTAGTGCTGCAGAAGTGCCCTCTGATGCTATCCCTAACCCTGAAGCTGTTTCATCATAAATGCTTCACAACTTGCACCAGCGCCCTTTTTTCTTGCCTGAGTCGAGCATTTTAAAGTACTGGATCATAACATGTGACTCTAAAATGTATATCCAAAAGTAACAATGTGCACTGAAATATATTAGATTATGTTAATCTAATTTAAAATAATTTGAAGAATTTTATGTTTATGTAACGTTAACTATCATTTTATTATTTACTGTATATAATAAACAGTCTGTATTCAACCTCTCTGGGTCTCTAACATGATTGGACGATACTAACTGGAACTTGATCCTGATAGGCTGAGGTGTGTTCGGGGACGGTGGCCGAGGTCATCCAGTCGGTGGTTAGCGGAGCGGACGGCTGCATCTTCTGCTTCGGACACGCTAACTTGGGTAACTACACACACACACACACACACACACACACACACACACTTTTTGAACAGGTCACATGACTGTTGTGTTGGCTCCGCTCTACACAGGTAAGACATACACCATGATTGGTCGGGACTGCTCCACCCAGAGTCTGGGCGTGGCTCCCACAGCCGTCTCCTGGCTGTTCAAGGTGATCGAGGAGCGGAGGGAGAAGAGTGGAGCTCGTTTCTCTGTCCAAGTGTCCGCTGTAGAGATCTCCGGTCGGGAGGAGACGCTCACCGACCTCCTGGCTGAACCCTCGTCCTCCTCAGCTGGGGGCCACCAGGAGGCCCTGGGGCCCGCGGTGTCACTGCAGGAAGATCCCCTCTGTGGATCCCAGGTAGAGAAAACCTCATCCATTCATTCTTTCACCTCCTCCCCATATTTCCTCCCTCCACCTCATCAATGGAGGAGGAAGTAGCAGAACAGTGATTAGATTTTCAAAATAAAATGACGGCAATGGTGGTGAAGACAACAACTCCCATGATCCAGAAACCAGATTCATGATAATGTTCATTGAGCCTCTTTATGTCCTCGCCTCCTTCCCTTCACTGTGTCCTCCCTTCCTCTCCTCCTCTCTGACCTCCTCTTCACCCCAGGGACTTCATCTCTGCCCACAACTGTCCAATTAGTTCTGACCTCTTTCCTTTTATTCTTATTCAGTCGCTTTTATCTCCCTCGGGCTCTTTCTGTCTGCCACGTTTTTTTATCTCCTCTCACTTTAATTTTCTTTTTCTGTCTCCACATTTTTCTCCTTCATACAGACTTTTTTTTTCTCTCTATCAAACCTCATTCTGTCTCATTTCAGCCGCTACCATTCTCTCGGTTTATCTCAGTCACGTCGTTTTTCATTCTAGAAGAGACGTCTTCATAACTTTAATAAACTTTACTTTGGACTCACCTGTATTGACTTGATGGCAGCACTTCTTGTTTACAGCCCATGAATTATGGGGGTTGTTTCTGAGGCGGGGGACTTTGCAAACCTCCAGTCTACAGACTAAAATATGTCTACCTTTCACCCTCGTCCACAGCACCATTTTTATTTTAATATGATTCATTATCCTCCGTTCCCTCTGGGTTCCTTCTACCTTTGCCATGTCACATTATCTCTCCCTCCATCAGCTGCAGAACCAGACGGAGCTGCGGGCGACCAACGCAGAGCGAGCAGCGTTTATCCTGGACGCCGCCCTGGCAGCTCGGAGGAGCAGCCGGGCGCCAAGCGACCAGGAGGCTCGGAGGAACTCGCACTTCCTGTTCACCCTGCACCTCTACCAGGAGAGGCTGGATAAGAGCAATAAGGCAGCAGGTCGGTGTGTGTTTGTCTGTAAGTAGAGTTGTTATAATCAAATATAAAAGATCAATGAACATAAAAACTGAAGGACAGAAGTCGACTACGACTCCCAAGGTGGATTTCACCAACAAACATCCAATCTCAGAGCTTCACACCAACGGCGAGCTGAAGCTAAAGATCCCACTGTGGAGAAAACTGATGCCTTTATTGTGGGTCAGTTTTGGATGGATTCACTGCCGCTCTGATTCACACGTCTGATAGCACCAGCAGCCGAGGATCATGGGTATTAGTCTATTTTCCAGCCCCATTGAGAACCTGGAAATGTTGAGTACCAAAGTTTTATGTTAGAAATCACATCAGCCGTTAGTCTCTTTTTCCCTCTGCAGCTCGTTTACAAACACGTAGCCGCTAATTAGCTTCATTTGGAGGTGCAGACTTGCTCAACAGCAACATTAACAACCAGAAAGGCTACGCTAACGCCACCTCTGCCCACATCTACCTGTCACAGCACAGACATTTACACAGTTATTAGTGTTTCTCTGTGTCTCCGTCCACGGCTGGAATATATCTGCATGGCTAATGAGGCCTGAATCCCCTGTGTCCTGCAGTGTTTATAGACCGCCGGATATAAAACTGTACACTCAGCCGCTCTCAGCAGTTTCTAAATCTTGCTGATGCGGGCGGTTGATCATTCACACCATCATTTCTCTGACTTAATGAAATGAACAGGCAGTTAAAATGAGCACAGAGACATCGTGATCTGAAGTCTGAGTCAGAGAAAATAATCTGAATCTTATTCAAATAAGATATTTTAAACATCTAATGCAAAAATATATTTATGGGTTTGGATATTGATATTAAGGAGAATTTGAAGACTTGGATGGACCAGTGACTTCAGCCTTTTTAAAAACTTGATATCCAACCACAGATTGTGCAGCTAAACAAATGTTGTTCTTGATTTGAAGCTTGGTCTACCTTAATGTGGCACCTCTGGACTTGACTTGTGGTCTTTCCTACCTTGCTTGGAGACTTCTGACTTTCCCGTCATGACTTGGAGCTTTACTTGGGACTGGCTGGTCTTGACTTGGAACTTGCTAATCTTGATTTGGGACTTTACTTCAGACTTGCTGGCCTTGACCTCTAAACTGAGTCAGGACTTGATTTGGGACATGGAGTTGACTTTGAGCTTTACAAGAAAATGTAGTACCTTAATGTGCACTTTAGTCTGGACCCGACTTGTGGCCCGGCCTACCTTGATTGAGGACTCAACTTGGGACTTTGTTGGTCTTGACTTGGGACTTGCCTGCCTTGATTTGGGACATCAAACTTGTAAACTGACTCGGTACTAGGCTGGCGCATGACTTGGGGCGTGATATGGGACTTATGAAACCTGTAACCTCTGAGCTCTGGTCTGTAAACTGATGTAATCATTGATGAGGTGTGTTGTTTTAATCTGTACTCTGGTTCTGGTCTCTGCTGCCTCCCTCTGTAGACCTCATCCCCTCTGATACCAGAACTGTAATTAGTTATTTACTCCTGCAGGGACGATGTTTACTCACAGAAATCCACCGAGCAGAATCACTGAAGTCTCCGCTCCAGTGCCCATACAGACCAGGGTCCATAGACATTTTTTATTTTTTAAGTGAAATGTAAAACAACAGCAGAGAATATTCATTCACTGTTTGTAAGATTCTGTCAATAACCAAATCAATGAATTGAGCAGTGATTTAAGCAACCAATCGTTGACGAGCAGTTAATCAGGCTGTATTGTGTCTCTCAGTGTCTGGTCGGAGCCGTCTCCACCTCCTGGATCTGGGAAGCTGTGAGACAGACATCAGCAGGACCAGAGAGGGAGGCGGAGGTCAGTGTCTGTCTCTGTCCGCGCTGGGAAACGTCATCCTCGCCCTCGCCAACGGAGCCAAGCACGTTCCCTACAGGTAGGGACTCACACTCTGGGCATTTTAATGAACCCATCAGGGGTCAGAGGTCACAGTGACCAAACAACAGATGGACCAGAGATCCCAGTGAGGACAGAGGGGAGTGAAGTCATTCTGTTTTAATGGGTTTTCAGTCGGTTGAATGGTTGATTAGACTGATGAATAAATCACTGTATGTGTAATGCTGATGGACGTGTTCAGTCCTCGGGGTGTTTGTTATGCAGTTTAATTGCTTTCTGCAGCTCTGTCTTCTTTCAGGATTGTATTTTGACATTTTGTCTGGCTCAGTGCCTCACTTATGTCTCCTTATGGGTTTTAAGCTGTTTTTAGGGTGTTGTTGTTTCATTCGATTTGTTTCCATCTGATTTTATGCTCATTTACTGTTTGTGCCAGAAAGTCTGAGGTGGATAAAATAAGATTGGGTTTTGTTTTCTTCTTTTTCTTCATTAACTTGTGAATAAGAGGAACACACAAACGTGATCATTTTTTAAACAGATTTTGAAATCACAAAGACATTTTTTTGGGAGTTGAAACATTTTCACATTAATTGTATGACTTTGTATTTCAATCGCACTACCTCTAAAATTCGCCTCTCTGTCTGAGCACACAGTAACAGACCTCCATGGACAGGTTACCACAGAAAATGGTGCCAGAATTTCTGATTTTTGTCCACTCACTACCCTCACTTGTAATTGAGTACCACCACCTCTGGAGAGCATGTACCGAGGTCGTCAGGGTCCGGACCTTGATAGTCTTTCTGATTGGTAGACAAAAGAAGTTCAGTTTTTGGACCTTGGTATATCTCAAACCCTGCATATGGCCATGCTGGTGAGGTTCTCCTAAACAACTGTGTCTCTATGTGAAGCTAGCTTAATGCAAAAGGCTTGAAAAGGATAAAAACACCAAAAATGGTTAGGGTTGTCTTCATTTGTCTTCAATTAATGATATCTATTTACATAATTTTAATTGTTTTCATATAAAGGTTGTAAACACTGATTGACAATACATTTTCCCGAATTTCACAAATGTGCATAATTTGAATAGAAACTTATTGTGGAAATTGTTTGGTTGATCCAAAAGAGTCAAAGAAAACCCCAAAGTAGTGAATAAAGATGCTAAGATTGCAGTATGCAGATTCAGTATGTGATCAGATCTTTTCAAAGGCAGGATTTCTCACTGCAGATCACATGTGGTGTGTAGTTCAAAGTGGGCTTCATTAATGTGAGATGAGAGATCATTTCTATTCCTTTTTGTGCACAACTGTTTCTGTGGGGTAATGAATGGTTCCTGGGATCCTGTGGGGCTTCTCAGGCCTTCTTTTTGGCTAACGAGGGGTTTCTTGATGTATTATTCAGGGACAGTAAGCTCACCATGCTGCTCAGTGAATCCCTGGGAAACATCAACTGTCAAACCACCATGATCGCCCACATCTCCGACTCCCCGACAAACTACATGGAGACGCTGACCACGGTGCAGCTTGCCTCCCGCATCCACCGCATGAGGAAGAAGAAGTCCAAGGTACTTGAGGTTTTATTCCTCCGGCTCACTGCTGTCGAGGTTCCACTGACCGATTATTGATATGCTGATATTTATTTATCGAGAAAACCAAACAGGTTGGTGATTTATTTGCCAGTGAATTCCATTATGAACGCAAAAGATAATAGGACACTTTTATTGTCTGTGTGGATTTGTCCCAATATATTTTTGTGAAAATGTAGTCCTAACACTATTAAACTGGGTGATTTTTATTTGTTACACTTCCTTTTCAGCTTCATTCACACAATTTCAAGAAAATTAATTAATTAAAAAAAGATCTATATATGTATATATACAAGGGATTGATCAGAAATGTAAATACTAAATAATCAATACTGTTTTCAGAAATCCCACGAGTCAGTCTTTCTTCAATTCTTTATACTTTATTCGTTCCTCAGGGGGAATTTGAGGCAAGCAGCTCTGCAAACACAAATTCACATCAGTTCATTTAAACACATAAACTAAAAATCTGAGAATATTAGAGTTGAACTACTGAAGAGTTCATGGTTAGCTTCATTATCCCCAAAGGGCAATTAGTTGTACAGCAGTATATAAATAACCAACATCACCAGACAACAACCAATAGACAACAACCAATGACACAATAATTAAATAGTAAGTATATAAATACAATACAAATGTTACATAAAGTTATTTAAGAAGCAAGAACAAATGAATATTTCAGTCTGTTTTTTCCTTGCTGGAGTGAAACTGCAGCCAGACGGTGGGTGGATCAGCCGGGATTCACTGGACCTTCTTCAGAGACATCATCTTGTACTCAGTCATAGTGGGTATAACAATATCCAGCACCACCAAAAAGTGTAATTTATCACAACTGATCATTTCTTGTACTTTGGCTGTTTTACAAGTCTAACAGCTTCTGAAATAAAACCAACCTTTCTTCTATTTGAGACAAAAACAACAACATAAAAACCACATAAAACAGCAGCTTGTTTGCTGCTGTAAGCCACGGGTCCCCATCCAGAAGACCTGCCATAACCCATCATTAAGGATTTTGAATGAAGGATAAAACATGGAACTTTTTTTAACTTTGTGGAAAGAAAACCCTAAAATATGTCCAAGTGAAAGGCACAGTGGCACTTTACAAACGTTGGTTTATTTTATTTAGTTTAGTTGTTACAGTTTTGTTACAAAATCTCTGGAGTTATACGACTGATGTCCTCCCTGCTTCGATACCACTATAAAGATAAATAACAGGGAAATGTGAATAGAGTGAAAAAAGAAAATGGTGCACTGGCCTTTAATATCAAATATACAGAAACTATGGATGACATTTCTGACATTGAAGTTACTTTAAATTTAAAGATAATAAAACGATTTAAGAGGTTTCTTCAAAATGTTCAGATTATTATTTGGGGGATACAAAGGTTTTGGTCTCTGAATGAGTTGGAGCTAATTTCCTGAGGCTGGTGACAGTAAAAACCTTCAAATCCATAATGTAAATCTGTGTGATCGAGTCAGAGTCATACTGTCATAATTCAGTGAGTCTTTCTACAATGGTATGACAGATAATCAATATTACTGTCCCCTAGGGGGACTGTAGTCTCTGCGGTGAGATGAGAAGGCTTTCACTCTAATTAGAGGCTGTATTTGTGTTATATAGATTGAAAAAGCCATATGGAAACACTTTCTACATCTCATTGACATTAATGTGAATCTAGTCCACAGTGTGCACTTTTAACCTTGCACTGTATCGACAGAGGACGCTCCAGAATTGGATTTGCCTTCAGGTTGATCGCTGTGTAGTTTAGGTCTCTTTTAGTATGTTAATACTGGTATTTCTCTCTCTGCAGTATGCCTCCAGCTCATCCGGAGGGGAGAGTTCCTGTGAGGAAGGCCCGTCCCATCGACCTCCTCATCTGCGACCTTTCCACATACGGACCATGGCCCTTGACCCAGACACGCCACTGCTGCTCTCCAGCGACCCTGACTATTCCTCCAGCAGTGAACACTCCTGCGACACCGTCATCTACGTCGGGCCTGGAGGAACGGCCATCTCAGACCGAGAATTAAGCGACAACGAGGGACCACCGTCCTTTGTTCCTATCATCCCCTCCCTGAATAAAAAGCGAGTCAAAGATGCACCCAGGTCTGATGGGGATCACTTCAAGTGTAACACATTTGCAGAGCTGCAGGAGAGACTTGACTGCATCGATGGCAGCGAGGGCCCGGCTGTGTTCGGCACAGAGGGCAAAGCACCACAAGCAGCAGCGCTCAGGACTCAGACTGGAGCCGCTAAACCCACAGAGGCAACTTCTCCACCCAAATCTGATAAGAACTCCTCCCACAGGTTCTTAGAAAGCACACCAACAACAAGCACAAATAAACCAGATCAGGAACAATCCAAATTCCCTTCAGTCGGTGGCCTCATGGACAGTTCCAAACGAACTAGTGCAGATGGGGAGAAACTATCAGCCCCCTTTCAGCCATGTGTGGTGAAGTCCAGTGGATTTTTTCCCCAGGACTTAGAACCTGTTGTGCGAGAGAAGGTCTACCTCAAAGGAGGTGTACCTAAGCCGTCGGCCTCACCATCCTTACCCAGGACATTCAGGGCTGCATCTCAGCCTGGGGAGGTTGTCGGCAGGACTCCCCCTGTGGGTATGAGTCAACAAGCACTGAGGCAAGACCAACCAGTGGGGTCCCCTAACCCGGAAAGGGTCCCTCATACAAGCAGAAGCTCTATGGAGGTGAACGATCTTCGGGCAACTCTGTTAGGAAGATGCCTCGACAGGGATTTCCTGAGGACGACGGTTACACTGCAGCAGCCTGTGGAGCTCAACGGGGAGGATGAGCTGGTGTTTACAGTTGTAGAGGAACTTCCTCATGCCCTCATCCCCGACAATGGCCACCCCTCCAACCTACTCAGCTTCAACAGTGACTGCTCTCTGCAGGCAGTAGCCTCTGGCTCCCGCCCTGTAAGCATTATCAGCAGTATTAACGACGAGTATGATGCTTACACATCTCAGCGAGGAGCTGTGGGACCCAGGGCTGAGGTTGGCACCGCGTGCCAGGAAATGCTAGTTTCCCAACATGGCCACAAGCAATCAGCTGTTGGCTCTTGGCCCAGTGAAGTGAGTGCTGAATCATCTGAAAGTGAAAGCATTCATTCAATAAGAAGCCTTTACTTGAGGGACAAAAACATGTCAACAGAGAGTGCATCCACACTGACCTCGGCAAGTATATTTCTTAAACAGCCATTTTTGCAGCATGGCATCAAGAGCTCCCTGAATGACAGTGGCTGTTTCTCAGAGCTGGACAGTAACCACGCTACTCCAAACAAACCTTCCTTTACCAAGTGTCCTCCCTCCCCTGACTCAACCAAAGCCTCTCTCAAAGGCTCTCTCAAAATGAGAGCCAATACTCTAAACACTTCAGCCCAGAACCCCCATCACACCACCCATTCCAGTCTTCCCAGAAAAACCAAGCCTACCTCATCTGCAACTGTGAGCTGCAGCAGACAGGAAGGCAGACATGATGACTTTTTGCTTCAGGGAAGTAGTGACTGTGATCCCAGAGAGGTTGAGTTTCTGTCTGCAGGTAAGCCACCAAGAAGTGGCATGAGTAGTGTTTCCTCTAAAAGGGCCGGAGTAAACAGTAACAGTGTACCTCAACCCCCAAAGGCACAAGGGTCATCTTCAGCTCAGAGGGTTGTGGATGGTTGTGAGAGGTCCAGCAGCAGGAGAGGAGACACTCTCATCAAGGTGCCACGACTCACTCGAGGTGCAACGACTCTAGGAACTGTTTCCATTCCTCAGAGTTGTGAATCAAAATGGGGTCATGAGGGCACTTCAGTAATGGGTACCCTGAGGTTTTCATCCTTGGGAAAAAAGTCAAATGAGCAGAAGAGCACCGTCATATTCAAGTCTGGATCTGGAAACATCTCTACTCCTGCTCCACCTGTCAGACAACCAAGCCAAGAACAAAAGACAAGGACTGCACTATCTCCAAGTGCCTTAAAAACAAGCAGTGACATTGGAAAGTCCTCATTTCCTAAAACATCGACCTCAGAGGAAGAATTCAACAGGCTGCGGGCAGATTCTTTCAGCCACAGGACATCAAGTGTAAAACCTGAACATTGCTCTGCCAGGACATCTTCTAGCCTGAAGACTCGTGGGGCCAAAGCAGAGTCCTCCAGGTACTACGGCAGTCTGATGTCTCTGGAAAGATGCGACAGTCAAACTTTAGCTGGGTCCAGGCATGAGCTGTTCAGGGAGAACAGTGGTGCTACTTTAGGAGGCAACGGCAGGTCCAACAGATCAGTGCCAAGACTGGGGCTTCCAGCATCAGCCTCCACATCTGCTGCTGCTTCTTCCCAAGTTTCTCCTGGTGTCTTTGCAATTACAAGCAAACTGGGGCAGGTCAAAGGCAACAGCAGCTCGCGAGCAGCAGTCTCTGTTGGATCAAAGGTTCGGACCCTGTCTACCAGTAGTTCCAAGAGCCTGAGCACCTCCTCTAAACCTCTTGATAATGTAGTTGGTCGCAACACCAGCCTACCTCCAACTAGTAAGTCCCCAGCTCGGTCAGGGACGGGAGCCAAGATGGGAAGAGGCACCATCATGGGCACAAAGCAGGCCATCAGCAGGGCGGCTAACAGCCGTGTTAGTGAGCTAGCCACCGGGAGCCCAAGGAAGCAGCTCAGCAGGGGGCCCGGAGCAACAGGAAATGATGGCACTGACAGTGGGATGAGTAGTGTCAGCGAATCACCAATCAACACGCCACTACCGTCACCTTACAGCAAGATCACTGCGCCTCGAAGGCCGCAGCGTTACAGCAGTGGGCATGGCAGTGACAACAGCAGCATTCTCAGTGGGGAGCTGCCCCCCGCCATGGGTCGCACCGCCTTGTTTTACCACAGTGGGGGGAGCAGCGGCTATGAGAGCATGATCCGAGACAGCGAGACCACTGGCAGCACTTCATCAGCTCACGACTCCATGAGCGAGAGTGGAGTGTCCTCGTCCAATAGAAGCAGAGTTTCTAAATCGCCCAAGAAGAGAGGAAATGGTGAGTCCACTTCGCAAAAGATAGAAAAAGGTGGCACAGATTATTTTTGTCTCAGCAGACAGGGAAAAGAGAGTGAAGATAAATCTACATTTTATTCCCAAAAGTTTTAAAAATAAGATGAGAGCAGAATCCGGTGTGACTACGGATGTTTATTCCTGGGTTGGCTAAAGGGGGTTTAGCACTCTGTTTTATTTGTTGCACCCTCATTTTAAGCTTTCTGTCTATAAAAAAGGCTAAAACAACAAAATGATCTGGCCGCGCTATCCATAGTACAATAGAGGAGGAGATCTCTAGCTGCTCATCTGCTTTTCGTGGTTATAAACAAAACTTTCACTAACTGTTCCATTGTAATAATCTACAGACGGAAGAGAAACGACAGGGAAGTGAAGGTCATCTGTAACCTTCCTTTTCTGCTGATTTAGTTCATAAATTCAAGACATATTCAGCGCTCTGCCAGTGGGTACTCTGATTAATAAGGAATTATTTCATTTTGAAACAGTAGCCTTAAGTTGTTGTTATTTAGCCTTTCTGAAACTATTGCACTGTTAAATCAATACATATTATTTTATGAAAAAACTGCCTCAGTCACTTCATCCTGCCGCCTGATTTAAGTGTTCTGGTTAATAGAACGGACACCGATGGAAAAAGGTTTGAGAACCACTGCTTTAGATAAATCTAGTCAGTAGTATCTGACATAGCTATAGTAGCAAATTCTATGTGTGGACTTGCTGAGCACATTAGCATCATTTGTTTTTCTTTAGATAGATTATAACTTGCTGGCATTAAAAGTCTGTGAGCAGCTAATGTAGAGGAATGTAAAAGTGAATACTCAAAAAGCAAGGCTGTGGCATTTGTTCTTCTTATCCAATTATTATTGAAATGAGCTTTTATATCCTCAAAGTTTAATACTCAGATTTGACATTCAACAGCTTTTTCTCAATGTATTGATCCAGAAAGTGAAAGAACCATAAAACTCGTCTGGAAGCTACATCCAGAAATTAACATATTTATGACTTTTTCCAAAATGTGCTCCCATCCATCACAATTTGTGCTGTTCTATATAATATTTTCATGAATGCTGAGCGCACTGAGGAGAACAGGTATTATTGCTGGGAGTATCTATCAAAGGCTGCTCTCCTCCCTCATACTTCACTGCATGAATTTATCTCTCTGCCCGGCATTATCGTAAAATCTACATGCGTGCACGTTATCTGGGACGATGTTGTAGTTTATTCAGCCTCACAGCAGCTGATTGTGATTCATGCAGCTTGTTGGCGGCAGCGACACACAGGTCAGGCAGCCTGATGCATATGGAATCAGCACTTGTGTGATCTGCCTGCCATCAGTCTGTGGATCTTGGCTCGTTTCTGCCTCATGAATATTTCATGAAGCCGCCACAATTCCCGGTGTACATATCCAACTCCAATTATCACCCACACACCCTCCCTCCCCATCCACTACACACCACTCCAAAGCATACACACCCACACACTCTCCTCCTCAATCTGTCACTATTTCTGAGTCCTCTCCCAGCGACCCACAATGTTTTTAATAATCAGTAATAGCTTTTTCTTTGTGCCGTTGCTTCTGGTTTCACTCTTTGCAGTTAATCATGAAATTAATTTGTACAGCAGCTATCTGACAGCCATGTGTACAAAGTCATTAAAAATAAGATAGAGGTCTTTAGGTTGACAGCGGAGGTGTTAAAGCTTATCAGCAGCGCAAATGGTTGTTGACACAGAACGGAGGTATTGGTAGCGCTAAACCGAGTAAAAAGATGAGGCTAATTAAAAATAATGAGCTGTCTGTGTATCTGCTGATATCAGGAACTCAATAAAACTTCATTAAAATATCCGCCTGGACAAAACATCTGTTTTATCATTTAATTCCTTCGACTTCCATCAGGTTTCCAGCGGCGGCGTCTGATCCCAGCTCCCCTCCCGGACACCTCCTCTCTGGGCAGGAAGGTGGGGGGTCAGTGGGTGGACCTGCCACCGCTGGGGGGCTCCCTGAAGGAGCCCTTCGAGATAAAGGTGTACGAGATCGACGACGTGGAGCGCCTGCAGAGGAGGAAGGAGGTGATGACGGGGTCAGAGGTGAGGCGGACTCCATCTGCTCAGATTTCTGTTCAGGAGGATGTTTAATGACTGCATTGTTTCTAAAAATCACTTTCTGAAACAACAAGACCCTGAACTGCTTCAAAACGTTCAGTTAGAGGTTGAGTAAGTCACTTATGAATGAATTCAGTTGTTATGGCGCAGTAATGTTAGCAAACTCAGTGGAAGCATTTTTTATCATTAATTTTTCATACATTTTTCAACAGCAACACAAAATAAGTCATAATTGTAGATTTCACACATATTCACCAGTCGAGTTAAAGCTAATCGTCTACTGCTGAGAATCAGTGGAGCACTGAACAGTTTATGGAGGATAAAATATTATTTTTTATAATTAGTTATTTATAAGCTCGGCTAAAGTTTTTCTATGATTTGATATAATCTTCAAAATTAATTATCGTCTGAGTAAGTGACGCTGTTTACATTGAAACTCAGAGAGAAACATGTTAGTTCTGACTGACAGTCGCACAAGTGAATTCTGAACATCTGCCAAATAAATGAGTGTATCATCTGCATAGAATGATATTTAATAGGCTGTGGAGCTTAAGGAGGAATTTGTGAGGATAGATTCTGAAAACTATTCAGTTTATATGTTCTGAGTTTTGAAAAAAGGTGCAACCATGTCTAATCAGTCAATCAGAAATGATCATGAATAAATTAAAGAATCTACAAATTAACAGGCCGATGGATTTGAATATAAAGAGTAAATCGCTGTTACCTTCAGTAAGGCACTTTACCCCTAAAAAGGATTTTCCAGCATCAAGACACAAAAACTGCAGAATTATCAGGACAGAGGACGAACAATAATGAATATAAAACTACAGAAGTCACCCAGTAGTTCCCATATGCTGTCAGCAGGCAGTTCCAGATAATGATTCTGTGACAAACACAAAATTCTTGTATATTTTTGCAATATACAACAAAAAGTTATGATTGCAGTTTTAATGTACTATATCAGTACTTTCATGCACCTTTCAGTTTCATTACCTTATTTTAAATTTTGTGACCTGTCGGGTTTAAATGAGTGTGTTGCTGCTTTAATGTAAGTTTCAGATAAAACATTACTTTTTTAATAAATATTTTTAAAATGATAGTGAATATTTTGTGCCTTGAACACAAACTCAGGTATTTCAGGTCTTTATTCTAAAACTTTCACAAATCTGTATTACACAGCAAAAAAACACCTTCTTATCCTGTAAGAACACTTGAAAACACCTAAAAAAGTGTAACAATCACATTGGAAATATTAGAATAATCAACTTGTTTGAAGAATTGAAATAAGAATGTGTGTGTATATATATGAATTATTAGTAATGTCAGTACAGTACAGACTTATGTATAGACTTTTAATTAAAAGACACAAAAAGCAGTTCAGTTAAAACCACTTTACATGTAGACTGTATATAGTTTTATTTTGTATGATATGTTATGATATGTGTGCATAAAGATTTGTACATTTTATAGGCAGCTGCAATATTTTTGTTTCCTGGCAGGTTTGTAGCTGCTTTGACTTACAGCTGAGAAACTGATATGAAGCTGAAAATGTGATTATAAAAAAGAGACAGAAAGGAGTCCAGAGAAAGACAGCAAACATTCACTGGACTCCAGATAAATGTAATGAATGAGTAGTTTGAGGAGTGTAAAAGGTCCGTTTCAGTTCACCTGTAAAATGTGACTGTGTTTGATTCTGAACCTGGATGATAAAGGAGCATCAGACTGAGGTTAGAGCTATTAGTAACTGAGTTTATCACTCAGTCAATTATACTTAAGTCTTAATTAGTTTAGATGTGAGTGATGGCTGAAGGAGGAGGCAGTGATGGATGAAGGTTTGGCCTCGGCTGGTTGCTCTTTATGGCCGTCGCCTCTCTGTGTTAACGGGTCATTAACCTTTAGTGTGTGGAGGGAAGGAACCACTGCAGGGAGATCTGATTTATTTTCAATTAAAGAACGATGATCTGCAGTTCATCTTCCTCTCTGTGTTTCTGTCTCCTCTCAGCAGCCCTTCCACGACGTGGAAAAGGTGAGTTATACTTTCACCAATCAGCACAAGTCTGTCATCTCTCTCTCCTCCGTTTTTTACATCAGCTGATTTCAATACAAATCAACGTATATTAAATCCACTAAAATCTTAAAATAAAATCTTAAAATAAAAAATATCATAATAATTTATCAAATAAAATCAAATAAAATCTTTGATGAAGTAAAAATAAATCATATAATGTTAATCTGATTATTGTAAATGAGAATCTTTCTGACAGACAGTTGAGATATTTGAGCAAAGTGTTGGATGGACAACAAACACTAAAAAAGAAACAAATAATAATAATAACTTTCAGTAAAACAACATGTGACGCGGGCTCAGTGAATATCTGTGGTTTATCCTTATGAAATGTGTTTGAGTAGAATGAATGAATAAAAAGTCCTGATGGATAAATGAGAGTAGAAGGTGCTTCCATTCAGTGGGGACGTCCTCCACTAAACACCTGTAATTAAGTGAAGCTGAGAGGCGACACTGATCCACCTCTCTGTCACCTGTTCGTCCTCAGCTGTCCTTAATCCCCCGCTCGCTGTTCGTCCCGCAGATTAAGTCTACAGCCAGCAGATTAGTGCCCATGCTAATTTTATCTCCGGCTGGCTCCTAATTAAATCCAGCAGTGGACACAGATTGAAGTCTCAGAGCAGGTTAGCGGCCCATCATTCCACTGCTACTAATCCCCCTCCACCACCCTCCACCTGGGCCGTGTAAACCGCTCACTCCTCAGAGGCTCCAGGTCTGGACTCACTGACTGACTGACTGTTTGGTCCTCAGGGTCTGCTGTACTTTAATGCCCGGCTGAGGATGCTGGAGAAGAGGCAGCAGCAGATCAGAGAGCTGAAGAGCAAACACGAGAGGCTGAAGGTGGAGCTGGAGGAGGCCAAGAGCCGGCTGATGCTGGACCCGAGCAAATGGAGCGGAGAGTGTGAGTATAATCCTGAGATCGTCTCACAGAGCGGAGACAGCAACTCAAATGGGATTCAAAGTGCACTGATTCCTAATTTAAAACCAGTATATTCCACTTCTTTTTCATTTAAATCAAGGGTTGGACAGATCGTTAACTAATTACATTTTCAGCTAAATTAATTAAATGTATTGATTATTAATAATAATAATTATTATAACATTATTGAAGATATGATGCTCACGTGTAGTGATTTCATAGATTTTAAGGACTCACCAACAATATTAATGCTTTTAATGTTTTTAATCAATAATGAATAAATAAATCTGTTTTTGGTGAGGGATTACCGCCAAAATAAGTGAGTTTTAGATAATCTGAATAAACTGTTGGTTTGTTACCAAATTACTTATTGATTAACATTAAATTAACTCGTTAGCAACTTCAATAGCAGGAAAGGCTCTGCTCATCGTTTACCCGACTATTTCATGTCAAAATAGCTGCTGTGAAAAAGGTCTATTATTAGACTTTCTTTAAATTTCTTTTTAAAAAAGCCTAAAAACATTGTGACATGTGTCGCAACTGTTCAGAAGAGCTGCTGTGAAATCAGACATTTAGGCTACAACAATCCCAAAAATACCCTGAGAAACCCTGGAGGGACTGATTGTCAGCCCAGAGTAGCTCCAACCTGCTCCAAACAATCCTAATTCAGTGTGTGGATCCAGATCCTCTGCAGAGAACCAGAGACCGCAGCAGCCTCCTCCATCAGCAGCACAAAAGGCAAACGAGTGCACTGAGCAGCTCCTGACCCCGAACACGGCGAGTGGACAAACAGAGTGTGTTTCCAGCTGAGTGCCGCCGCCGGCCCCAAAGCCTCGCCGGTTAAACCCTCATCCTCTGCAGCTCAACTCGCTCCATTATGCTTCTATTTCTGGCTCCTCTGAACAAAAGGAGGCAGCTCGTGGTGCTCCGGGCTGTTTGGAGACGAGAGTGTTGGAGCAAAGACAAACAGCCCACAGGGAGAGGATTATATTTACATCTTTTTATTATTTCTGTCAGCGGGACAAACTCTCAGGTCACCTCGAACAAAAGATTCTTCAGCTCTGCAGAAAGCAAAGAAAGAGCCGGCAGAGGCCCCAAACAAGTCCCGAGATCAATAAGACATTATTTCCTCTCAGCCACACGGGGATCAGGTGGAGAGGCTCCTGGTCTCAGCTCATAAATCAGATACAGAGTCCTGGTCAGCCTTCATCAGTGTATCCCATCATGCCCTGCACCATCAGCGTCTGCACCATCAGTCACCGTATACTGTCCACACACACACACATACAGTAACACACACATCAGTTCAGACTTTACATTAACTTACATTCAGTCACTCAAACCTAAAAGAGAAGAAGACACAGAGAGATCAGATCGCTTCCACGTCAAAGTGGTTTTATGACAATACTTAATAAATGGTTGTAAAGTAGTAAAATATAGGAACATTGCAGATAGTAATTCTAAATATGATTGCACGTTAGTTACGCCCAGGATGATGCAACAGGACGGAACTGCAGTTTAATTGAACGACACTGGTGCGCTGTTAGCTACAGTTTAATGTGTCATAGAGAAGCTTTAAGATCAATATTGATCATAAATCAGTTTATCAGGATATTTTAATGTTTTGAACACTAACCCATCTCTTCCTGTCTCTGTCCTCCCTCCAGTTGACGTGGACCAAGACCTGGACCGGGAGTCCCAGGAGTATCTGGAGGCTCTGGCTCAGGCCACGGCAGAGCTGGAGTACTGCGTCAACCTCTGCAAGTCCCGCGTCATGATGGAGACCTGCTTTGACATCGCCGTGACGACGGCCGCCGCCGCCGTGCAGGGAGGGCAACAGGAAGTGGAGGTGTGAGAGGTTTCTTAAAAGAGCTGGATACTGCCCCGCCCCTGTGGTCCCTCCCCTGACCCACCACAGACCGCCGCTATAAAAGAGTCTGACAGCACGTCCACAGTGGCGATGATTACTCTCTGTATCATCTGTGTGGAGCCATGTTGGTCCGTCAGTGAAATATCTACAACAACTTTTGGACGGATCGCTGTGAGGATATCGTTATCTCTGATCAATAAACCATAAATCCACAGAAAAAAGACGGTTCTTACATCTGCAGAACCTTCATGTTTCCTTCAGTGTCACAGGAATCAGCTGGGGAGACATCTGAGGAGCATTTACAGGGTCTCGTTCTCCAGATAGGCTTCATAAGCCCCACCCCTTCCTCCTCTGTTCTCCAATCACAGCTGAGCAAGATATGCTATATGCTAAGCTAATCTATGCTGAAAAGACAACCACATTTTGAAGATGGTTATAAGATAAAAGACACATATATATATAGACACATCTTAAGTTAGATAATGTTAGCAATATGCTAGCTAATTAGCTAGTGAATCTACATCAACCATTAGCTATCTATCTAAATGTGGTTTTCAACAGATAACAGATTATCTTAGCATATAGCATATCTACAGGAAGCAAATTATTTGCCCCAGGATGGTGAAGTCATGACAAGCCCTACTCTCTGATTGGCTGGTACTCATAGCCTTTGTTGGGTGGTTGGTTGAGTTTACGTATGAGGAGTGGGATTGGTCAGGGTTAGCCAATCAGAGGCGTGACAGGAAATGAGAAAGTTGACCAGCTTCCAAACAACGTAGGAAGGGTCAATAGTTTGTGTTGTCATACTGGTTCTCAAATAGCCCTTTATGTAGATGTTAGCATGTTAGCATCTACAAGATTAACGTTTTTTTTACTATTTTCACACAAAAGTCAAACAAGAGGGAAAATAATTTCAAATAGGAGTTGAAGGAGGGAGCAGGAGGTAAAAACATGAGGCTCATCCAGATTACGCTCACTGACCGGAGGCTGATTAATGTGTGAAACATCCCAACAGAGGACACGCTGCAGTATCCAGTTCTTATAATACGTCACTTTATCCAACAGCTCTGGACACAGGAAGTAAAGACAGGACGCGTTGGTGACGAGTTTCTGAAGGAAAATCGAACGTTTGTGGATTCATCTGATGTTTGTTCTCTCTGGAGACGTCTGGAGGAACTCCCTGCTGGTCCTGGATCAGATTAATGAAGAACAGGTCTCTAATAGGATGAAAGCTCTGGAAGTGCCTTTATATTTATTATATATAAGTATTATTTTCCTTATTTATGATGTTTTTTTTCTATTTATCATGTCTGTTTTCATGGTGCTGATCTTGAAGTAAACTAATATATCTGTTATGCAAAGAGAAGATATTTGGAGTAGACGCTGTGTTTATGTGATAAAAAGGAGGGAAGATTGCAAACCTCAGTCTCTGCCTTCGTCATACTGGATTATTTCGCTGCCTTTGACACCAACACTGACTCAGACTTTCTCTCAGATTACAAATGTCTGTCTGTCCCAGGAGGATCCGGAGCTCTGGAGTCAGTCAGTGTGAGTTCCTTCCTATAGAAGGTTCTTTAAGGAACCAGGTTGGAAACCAGAGCTCTAACTCCTGGTTGTCGGTTGGCTCCCGGCAGCAATACGAGGAAAAGTTCCAACATCTCCTGAAGGAGCTTGCTCCTCCTCCTCCTCTTCCTCATTCAAACAAAGTCAACAGATGAAATTTTTTTTATTTTAGAACATTTCTCTTTTTCCATTTTTTAGCTTTTGAGTCTGTCCTCCTCTTCCTCCTCCTCTTCCTCCTATTCCTCTTCCTCTTCCTCCTCCTCAGGCTCTTTTTAAAGTGCATGAAAACATTTTTTCTTCTCCTTCCTTAAATCTTCGTTGTCCTGCATTCAGTTGTTGACGAAGAGGAACACAATTTTTAATATTTGACCTTTAACGATGTATTCAGGCTGTTTTTATTTGTTTTGTTACTGTACAGTTTTATAATGATTTCTAAAGAAAAGACGAGATGTGAAAGACGAGTGGATTATAAATGTTAATAAAGATAACGTTCAGTTACTCTCAGTGATTTTCATTATTAGTTGTTTATATCAGAGACATGATGAAGATCTGTTAATAATCAGCGTCCCATGGTAACCATGGTAACTGTACACAACAAAGATGAACCTTGAAATGTTTAAAAGATAAAAACTTGAGTGTGAAACATCTGGACCTGGACAGGAAGTGAGCTGCTGGTTCAGTCTGCCGGGACGTCGCTGGGTTTGATGAACCAGCTTCAATCAGCTGATGTTTGTCTGTTTTTTGACATTTTACTTCGTCTCATCTGATTTCAGAGCTCAGCAGCAGCGTTCGCTCGTTCAGACCTAAAATCCTCCAGCGCGGACTCATCGGGAGATGAACTGATATCTCTGATGGAGCGTAAATGTCAGACGAGTCTGTCTGCTGCTTTAATCCACTCAGGAAACGCACACGACTACTGAAGATAAAAGTTTCATCCCAAAACCGACACCGGGGGGAAATAACATCTGATATCAGACCGCTGAAGGACAGGAGGGACGTTTGGTGGGTCAGTGATTGACAGCACAACATCACATCAAACAGAGAGCAGATTTTTGGTTCCTGTCAGACACACACGCTGGTTTAAGTCCTTTAGAAGGAGCATACATGACTCTAACTCTGAAAAACAAACAGAACACCAGACTCAATGACCCAGTCATTTTACATCACAGATAATCATAAACCCAGTAAATAAAACAAAACATTATTCTTTTCATTTTCCTTTCATATAAATATTTTTTGTGTCTTCATCATCATCAATCATCAATAGTTTTTATTTCATGTTAGTTTGTGTTTAATGTTTCAAAAACAATAATTATGATCTCATATATTTTTAGTTTTACATCAAAAGGGATGAAATGTTGGTCAAACATGAATATAATAAATATTACTGCTTGTGATCTTTGACCCTCAGTGCTCAGGTTTGTTCCTGGCTCACATCACAGAGGATGCAGCAGGGAGGCGGAGGAGGGGGAGTCGCCATAGTAACTGTTGCCATGGAGGCTGAACGGTCCAAGGGAGGGATGCTCAGGGTTGACACGGCAACCTGTTGGCTGGAGGAGAGTGTGTGTCTGTCCCTCCGAGGACAAACTGGGAGGTTTTTACCAAGTGGGGACATTTGTCAACTTAAAGGTTAATGAACGATGGTCCCCACAAGAACAGAAGAACAAGTGTGTGTGTGTGTGTGTGTGTACTAACAGGGGTTAGGGAAAGAGGAGGAAGAAGAGATAAGTAATGCAAATGGGAGAGGAGAAAAGAAAAACAGAAACATTAGGGGCTGCTTCACTTTGAATCACTGCCACCAATCTGTTTTACTAACAAGACAGGCGAGGTGGCGATAGGCCTCAACACAGTGTTTCTCTGTCTCACTCACGCACACACACACAGATACATTTTTATGACTGGATTTTTAAGGGTTTTCCCTCTGATTTATATTCATTTGTTCTTCACAGTCTGCGTGTGTATTTATCTACACCCACGTACCATATACACTCACTCACGCTGTGCACAATTATGTGTATAGGCGCTTCAGTCAAGTGTGTGTACACACTTACAGAGTAGCCCTGAAAGATGACTGCCTGTACACACACTCACACCTACAGAGCTGCTGGTTTCCCTGCATGTAGGCAGGATGAAGGCCTCCTGGGCCAATCAGACGAGAGTCATTACTTCAATCACTGATCTACACTGGTTCTGTCACTCCATCCCTCCATCCGTCAGTTAGTCATTTTCCTGAAATAATGTGTCCTTCCCAATGTTCAAATTTTAAAGGCTGTGTGATTGCATTTAAAGTGAATTTAAGGAAATGTGGTAAGATCTCAACATCTCTCTCTCTCTCTCTCTCTCTCTTTTCTCTTTCTCTCTCTCTCTCTCTCTCTCTCTCTTTCTCTTTTTCTTTTTCTCTCTCTCCCTC